CCCCCCTCCTCCCCATTCATGGTGGCACTTCGTTCGTATCAGAGACGTTACTTACCGCAATTTTCTCACTGATGTTGATTCTTGACCTTATAGTTACTCGACTCGCGAAAGGGCCAGAAAGCAACCAGGTGGCCTTATAGAATGTCCTCTTCTATCGCAAAGATCGAGGTGTTCAGGAAAAGGACAAATTCGATACAAGTACTGAGCCTCAACACCAATAAATCGCATTGCGCATTGCAGTGAACCAGTACTGTCGATGTCTGTACCACGTCCTTAGGTCTCTAGCAGTTCTGGGTCCCGGCTGGTTGGGCCACTTGGTGGATCTTTGCACGGTTTTGTTGAATCCAACCTGAACTGAATCTTCTGGGTCACAACATGGTGCTAAGGCCAACTTACACATCCCGTCAGACATGAAACCTAGTCTTACGGCTGCAGCCCTCCAAACCACCTGCAATATGGGTTAAGTAGAATAAGGCGGGGTTTGAGTGGGGGCTTAAGCGTGCGTGAAAAATGAAGATGGCTCTCTCTCAACCTTTCCTTATTTAAATTTGCTCCTATTTTAACCGGTGGCTTTGCGGCCTCTTAGGCAGTGCAATGAATACTAGCACATTTTTTTCTTATTTTAACTGCGTCATATGACGTTCTTGGTAATTATATTCATATATAAAATAGCCGAAGGTTGTTCGCTCACTGAAATCAGAGCTAAAAGCGGCAACAAAACAACAACAGCTTGAAGGGTGGGTTATGAGGCCAATCAAACGCTGGTGATGCCAGTCAAAAGGTGACAGCGCAAGGCTCTGTATGTCGGAGCCAGATCGATAAATCGATTGACTGAGTTCTCATCGGGGCCCAGGCTTAAATCGAATCCCGGCTTGTCTTGCTTCTGGCGTGGACGATTATATGCACGGCTGAGAAGTCAAACGCCTGCCACGGGACAAAAAATGGACAATTTGTGACAAATTGACAGGGTATCTTTCGGTTTTAAAAGAAGGTTCTAAATGGCCGAATAATTTTGAAACCTACTGACTGCTACATTGGAATTCAAGTTGTACAAACTGCGCACTGTGTACATCTGTTTTATGAAAAGTACGTTTTCACCTACAGCTTGAGGAAGATCTCACATAGTTCTCATTAAATATGCAATAGATATTGAGCATGTTTTATGCGAGTAAAGGCAGCATTAACAAATGACGGATACGATGTTCCTATGAATGAACACCTGAAAATTGTAAAAAAGCTCATAATTAGAAATTTTTTATAACCGAAAGATGCACTTTCTTTCAGTATAAAATTTAAAGCAGGCGTAATTTTCTACCAAACGAGTACAAGAAATAACTTTTTCCTACATGTTTTCCAAAAAATATACTTGAATATATAAAGGCAGTCAAAATCAATGACAAAAAGGCATGCTACTTAAGTAGCTACTTTTGATAGTGAATACTTTTACTTAGTGGTCAGAAAGAAGTTCGTTAAAAAGCCGGCATCCTGATGTGACCAAATTTTATTGAGATTAGGCTGTACGATCGTCATTTTTAAAACCATACGTAATTAATACGTTTGAATTGAAAACACATTTCAGAATTCCGGGTGACGTTTCATGAGATAGGGAATCTACTGTACGTCCCCAGAATTATGTCTAGGGCCTTTTCGCTCCCTTAATTATCCCTTACCTGATGTCCGTTGTTCCACTTCCAGGACAATTGATCCCCTCCGTGACAATCTCACCAAGGAGGTGGCTGTTTCGGGCAAAGCGGCGGAATTTCTGGGCTTCATCTGGCTCATTCGTCTCTTCCTCTCCTCCCTCCTTGCTCCTGCTGCCTCCCCCCTGCCGACAGAGGAGGGCATGGTTAATTGCGGCAACTGGGATTCCTCAGTCGCGGTGGTGAACCCTCCCTCTGAGATGGATGATAGCGAGGAAAGACAACAAGGGCTGACCCGGGGCCTCAACGTCTCCGTGGTGCCCCAGACCGCTGGCGCCCCCCTCGACACCGTTATCGGACTCGCTTGGGGAAAGTGGGCCGGTAGCCCTGCAACCGATCCGGTAACATTTGCGCGCCTTCACTATGCCCCTATTGATAGTGATGCTGGTGGTATTGATTTTCCATGCGGTTAGCTGCGACGACTGATTATTGGCATTACTGGTACTAGGAACTGAAGGACGATGAGATAGTTGAATTTGTATACAGTAGATTGGTAAACTCATGAAATGTCGTGATTTAGACATGAACATTCATGTTGCGCGAAATCAATGCATGTGGCGTACCCCCCCAAGTTTTACTGTAGTAAATTACGTACCATAAGTAAAAAAAGACATAGGTTAGTTGACAAATTACTACATACTAGCATAAAAAGAGTTAATTCTCATTAATAACTCGAAATTGAGATAATGGCTATATTACAGGTCACTGATCTAATGTTAAATATAAATGTGTTTAAGGCAGGGAAGCGTAAAAAAGGGCAAAATAATGCAGAATAAGTACAAATACAATGCGTTAATACTTTCTATAGTTTCCATTAACACTTAAAATAGCACTAAGTTCGCCGGGCATACACTATGGCGTGTGTACTTACTTGATAGGAAATTACGCGTTCTTTAAATTTTATTCTTAAAGGAAGGGTGTCCTTCGGTTTAAAAAATTTTCTAAATTGCCGAATGATTTTGAAACCTACTGACTGCTGGGACTGAATTCTAGTTTTACAACCTGATAGCCGTGTTCATCCTGTTTAAGGAAAAGTACGTTCTTGTCTTCGTTTTTGAGGAAGTGGTTGCATAGCTCTCATAGAATTTCGCAATAGACATGGATCGTACTGTACATACCAGGGGCAGCATTAATAAATTGACAGATAGGATGTCTTATGAATGAACACCGCATAGTCGTAAAAAAACTCAAAATTAGAATTTTTTAAGCCGAAGGAAACCCTTCTCTTAAGAATAAAATTGGAAGAAGGCGCAATTTCCTAGCAAATGAGTAAAAGAGAGAATTTTTTCGTGTATCCTAATTTTTACCAAAAGAGTACAAGAAATAAATTTTTTCGTGCATGTTTTCCAAAATTTAAAGAAGGCGTAATTTGCTATCATACATGTACAAGAAACAATTTTTTCGTCCATGTTTTCTGTGAAATATATTTGAATTCATAAAGGCAGTCAAAATCAATGATAAAAAGGCATACTATTTAAGTAACCATTTTTTAAAGAATCAACTTTTTCGCAGCGGTCAGAAAGGAGCTTATCAACAAACGTTGGATTTAGTCTGATTCTGCCCCCACTTGCCCCCAGTATACTGATCTGAACCGAACTCTTTTCTATTAGACAGCATTTTGCTCCTCAGGTCAACTTAATGTACAAACTAAACATCTTCCGATGTGTGCTAAATCCTCCACTTAAATATTGATCTCCACGTTTCATCAGCTATACATTTACTGTCATTTTTCTCCTCCCTTCTTTTTTCAGCTTCGCGTTGTCTGGCTCACGAACCTCCAAGGAGAGTCATTGATGGGAAAGCAAAAAAGACTGTCTACTCCTATCGGGCGAGCTTTCAACATGACTGGGGCCCTTTGGCTCAGGCCTCTCAATGGCTCTCTCACGCCTTCGGCACTACAGCTGCCCCATGTTGTCACTGGCAGCAGCTTTAGAAATGACGACACAG